TACCCCACTCTCCTTATCTAAGGCTCTCACTTTGCTGTTCACAGGCACCCTCTTGGATGAACCAGGTTCTTTGTGAGAAGCATGGACTTCATAGTCACATGCAATAAAGGTGTTGGCTCCAAAGTGATATTTACTTGTGCTAACATCCCATTTCTTGAGGGTAACCTTGAAGTGAGAAAGCATAGCAGTGAGAATGAACTCATAGGGTATGGTATGAGTTTTAGTACCGGAGAGTACCCTATCAAGGAGTTGGATTATAAACCCCAGCCAGTTGATCTGCCTCCCACAATTCAGGTATTCCATAAGGACTAGGTCAATAAAAGTTGCAATGTGCCTCCTCTCCTGCCTGGGCAGAACAACCTTATTGACAAATTCAAAGAGCAGCTTTTGGACAGGCTTCATTTCACTCTTGTAAACAATCCTGGGTTGTAGCTCTAAGTCCCTGTCAGCAATTTTTTTGGTAATGGAAAGGGTAGGTAGGTTTTCTAGGCTTGGATATTTCAACTTCTTGTAATCATTGTACCTTTCAGCAGGTACCCCTGAGGCTGAGGTTGATTTTGTTGATTCTGTAAGCAGAAGTGTTTGGAGAGGTGATGAAAAAACTTTTGTTGTTATTGATTTTTTGATCAGAAGCTTTCTCATAACTCATAATATTCTTTTTGATGAGTTTGATCGAGCCACTGCTACCTCCACAAAAGATAACAATATCATCAGCATAAGCTAAATGGTTAATAATATGGCCTTTGTGATCCATGGTAAAAAAGGTGAACTTTTCATGGTGAATAAGGTTGTTAAGGGTTTGGAAGGAACTTCGGCTCTAATGAAGAACAAGGATGGCGATAAAGGATCACCTTGCTTAAGGCCTTGTGAAGAAGTGAAAAAACCTTTTCTGGCACCTTTGATAATGATAGAGTACCCAACTTCTGGCACCTTTAACTAGACCCTAAATAAGATCTATCCACCGTTCGGAAAAGCCGAATTTCCTCATCACAGACATGAGGAAGCTCCAAGTAATTCTGTCATAAGCTTTAGCCATGTCTAGCTTAATAATCACATTGCCTCCTCTGTTACTTTGATTGATATTCTGGATGATTTCTTGAGCAAGTAAAATATTTTATGTGATCAATCTCACTTTGACAAAGCCACTTTGATTATCAGATATGAGTTTGTCAAGCATGGGGTTAAGCCTTCTAGAAAGAATCTTGGAAATAATCTTGCTCGTTAAGTTGCTCAAACTAATAGGCCTAAGCTCTAACAAATTGGTTGAAGATTCCACTTTAGGCTTAAGCTTTTCCCACTGAAGAAGTCTTGCACAAATTCTTTAATATCATCCTTGATAATATCCCAACATTTATGAAAGAAAGTGACGTTATAACCATCAGGCCCAGTAGAGTTAGAAGCACTCATATTGAAAACAACCTCGGTAATTTCTTTCATGTCTGGGATAGTAGTGAGATAAATATTATCCTTTTCTGTAATACATTGAGGGATACAATTGAGAATGTCTTGATCTCGGAATTGATGGCTGAAGTTAAACAAATTCTGGAAATGATGAATTGTAGCCTTGCCAATATTTTCATCATCTTCAACCCATCTATTTCTGTGATTCATGATTCTATGAAGTTGGAGCTTCCTTCTTCTATCTCTTATAAGACTGTGAAAATAACTAGCATTAGAATCTCTATTTTCAAACCATTTATCTTTGGATTTCTGCTTCAACAAAGCATCTTGCATTCCCATCCATTTGACATATTCAACATGGCCTTTATTTAGTGCCTCTCTATAGATATCAGTGTTGTTGTTAAGATCCTGCTTCTCATGGTGTTGCATATTTGTTTCCCAGTCTATAACCTGATCAAATACATTGCCAATCTCCTCTTTGGACCATTGAGTTAATCTTCTACTAGGAATTTTGAGCTTTTGTTGCAGTCTCCACATAGAATTCCCATGACCTTGAGTTTTTCACACCTCCTCGATCAACTTCTTAAAAGCTGGATGTTCTGTCCAGAAATTGAAAGTACTTAATCCCACTATGAGTATTATTGTGATATTTGAGCAGAATAGGCCTATGATCCGAGCCAGTACTTGCCAGATGCCTAACCATATTGTTCTGGAATAGTTAGCACCACTGATAATTAACTAAGATCCTGTCCAATCTTTTCCAAATTCTTCTTCAAGGTTCTCAATTATTACACCAAGTGAACTTGTGACCAATATACCCCAGATCCATAACCTCACATCTATCCATATAGTTGCAAAAGTCAAGGCTTTTGTACATTCTATAAGGTCGGCCTCCTTTTTTCTCATCTGGATCAGATATGACATTGAAATCACCTCCAATGCACCATGGCCAGTTAACTTGCAAATGAATATTTTCTAAGCTACTCCATAAGTCTTTTATTTCTTCTGCAGTGCATTTAGCATATAAAGTAGTTAGAAAAATATTACAATTAGCAGCCCCATTATGCATTCCGATAGTAATTTATTGATAATCATTCTCAGTCATACTGGTCTGATTGTTCCTAGACCACATGAGCCATATTTGACCATTGGTATTGGAGACACAGTGTTAAAACCCAAGGAATTTCATATACCTCTCGATCTAGTTCATGTTTTACAAAAGGTTCCATAATGACAACCAAATTGACTTTGTTGATGTTGATAAGTTTTTTAAGCCTAGGAATGGCTAGGTCTTTGATCTTAAACTTTGAATCTAACAAGCTTTAACTGAGATAACTCTTCTGGATTGTTTCTTGTTAGAACAATGTCATCTATATATACTACCACAATAGAAATTAGGTCTCCTAACTTCGTAAAGAAAAGGGAATAATCATTCATAAAAGAACTAAAACCCTTAAAGTTTAAGGCTGCCGGTAACCTTGCATACCATTATCGTGATGCCTGTCAAAGCCCATATAGAGATGTTTTGAGTCTCCAAACATGGTTTGGACTAGGTGAAGGCATTCCGTCAGGAAATTTTATGTAAACCTCTTTCTGTAGTTCACCACGCAAAAAGGCATTATTCAAAACTAGTTGTAAAATTTGCCATCCTTTCTTAACTGCCACTGTAAGTATACACCTGATTGTAGTCATTTTGACTACAGGGGAGGAGGTTTCACTAAAATCAATTTCCTCTCTTTGAATATCCTCTCTAATAACTAACCTTGCCTTCAATCTCTCTATGCTACCTCTGAATTATGCTTAACCTTGTACACCTACTTACAAGGAAGAGCCTTTCTTCTTGGTGGAAATTGAACTACATCCCAAGTTTAATTGTCTTTCAAATCTTGGAATTTTGATTCCATAGCCTGCTGCCATCCTGGGTGTAAAATGACTTGTGAAAAAGAGTTAGGCTCAGTCATAGTAGAAATTGAATTCAAGACTTGTTGGTTTGTAGTGGATAGATTTGCAAACGAATATTTAGAGGTGTTGACTGATTTAGTAAAACAAGAATCCGTTAGATCAGTGAGCAAAACAACTTTGCAGACATAATCTTTCAAATACGCTGGCTTGTAGTGAGGCCTTTATGATCTTCTTAAATTTGTTGTTGTGACAGGATCGGGAAAAAAAGGAGATGCAGGTGAAGGTAATGAGTCATCAAAGAAAACAGGAGAATCAAGTAAGTCTGATGAGTTGTTTGGTGAATTTCTTGGCCTGGAAATAGGACTAGACTGTCTTTAAGGTGACAAACTTGGTTGTGAATCACTAACTTTGTCGAATTTAGGGGGTTCAGTCACATCTTGTGAATCACTTGGACTAAAAATAGGAGTTGAAGAAAACTGATTAGGATCAGAAGAATAAGTAGAGAAAGAATAGATATTTTCATGAAATTTTACATCCATTGAAACAAATATTTTCTTTCTTTGTAAGTCTAACAACTTGTATCCTTTCTTTCCATAAGGATAACCCATAAATACACAAGCACTTGCTCTAGGCTCAAACTTTCCTCTGTTATTTGTACTTGTGTTAGCACAATATAAATAACCAAAACTTCATAGGAAAGAATAAGAGGGTGGATGAGCAAATAAGAACTCATAATGTGTTTTATTCCTTAAAATTCTTGATGGATATCTATTAATCAAGAAAGTAGATGTGAGAAGACATTCTCCCCAATATCTTATGGGTACCCTAGATTGATGCAATATAGCCTTGCTAACTTCCAAGAGATGCCTATGTTTTCTCTCCACAACCTCATTTTGTTGTGGAATATGAACACAAGAGATTTGATAAATTATTCCTTGTGCAGCAAAGAAATGAAATGAATCTTTACTGCTTCCCAACTCTAGAGCATTATCTGATCTCATAATCGTTACCTTCACATTGAATTGCCTTTCTTCCAAACTCAAAAAATATTTTAGGACAAATAATGCATTAATTTTAGTCTTTAGAAGGTAAGTCTAGGTTCCCCTACTACAATCATCAACGATAGTTAAGAAATACTTATATCTATCATGTGTAGCAATCTTGTATGGTCCCCAAGTATCAACATGTATTAATTCTAGGACATTTTTAGATTTGATTTCACAAAGAAAAGGTAGCTTTGATTGTCTTGCTAATGGACAAATATTCCAAGTGGAATTAACATGTAAAAGACTTAATTAACTTGAACAAATATTTTTCATTGCTGGAAATGGCATATGGCCCAATTTGAGATGCCATAGCCTTACATCAGAACTGTTCTTTACAGGAATAGAAACATAACTACAAATTGAAAAATAACTAGCTTTCTTCTAAGTAGACAAAGAAATTGCATTATTTGTAAAAAAAACTTCTTGGAAGGTTGAAAATGTGATTCTAGAAGATAAAGTCCTGATCTAGCGTCACCAAACTCCAGAGGCCTCTTTATTGAAGGGCCCTACAAGAAATATCCAGTTGAGAAAAAAATTAGAAGACAAATTAGTTATTTGCATAACTTATGGACTGGAATTAGATTAAACATGAAAGAAGAACTATTAGAACATTTTTTAAAGTAATTTCGGTGAATGTTTACACTTTCAACGTGTGTTACCTTTACTCTATATGAAGTAGGAAGATTAACAAAGAGGACTCAAATCTAAGAAATCCTTTGAATCATAACATATGTGTTATGTTGCCCCTGAATCCAATATCCAAGTTTTCTGTTTGAAAAAAATTAGTGTGGAAAATGATTTGTTCAAGATGTTATTAGCACAGTTCACAGCATTTGCTGCAGCCTCAGGTTCTTAGGTTCCAGGCTGGTTCATCTTGGATCGTTGAAGCAGATGGATGAGCTGTGTATATTGATCTTGAGTCAATTGATGAGTTGGATGTCCACCATCAAAATAGTTAGAAGTATGTCCCTGTTCTCCCGCAGTAGAAAAGACTGCATTACTCCTTGCATTTCCTTGAAACCTCTTAGGTTTAGTAAACTTGAAGTTAGTTGAAAGTCCTATTATCCTGTAGCATTTATCTACTGAATGACGTGCTTTCTTACATTGAGAACATACCAGATTGTTCTTCTTTCCCTTGAGTTCATAGTTTCCAATTTTCTGACCCAAAGTGTTTTGATTTGCAGCTAAGAAAGAGGAAGAATCCTAGAGGAATTGTGAACTTACAAAGACTTCCCTTTGCTTTTCATCCTGTATCAATAGTGAGTACACATGATTAACAGTTGGCAAAGGTGTTATCATAAGTATGATACTCTTGGTAGTAGCATAGGTGTCATTTAAACCCAAGAGAAATTGAATAAGTCTCTCATCTTGAAGTGACTTATTCATTTTTGCCTCCCGACCACAGTTGCAGGCACATGAACAATTGTGTTGAGAGCATCAAGCTCATCCCACAATCCTTTTATCTTTGTGAAGTAACCTGTTATGTCGTTTGACCCCTGTACTAAAGCATTTAACTCTTTTTGCAGGTGGTACTACTTAGCTCCATTTGATTGTCCAAATCTGTCTTCAAGCTCATTCCATATCATTAGATCTGTTCCATAACTTTAAGTCAGGAGAACCATGGGTTGGTTCACTGTGGGTTCCATCAATGAATCTCACCTTGTTCTTTGCTGAGAGTACAGTCAAAATGCATCTTCTCCAACCCCCATATACTTTTCCATCGAAGCATGAGTTCACCATATTCATGCCTGGTAAATCTGAAGCATGAAGAAAATAGGGGTGTGTGTGGTCAAGGACATTGTTAGTGTTTGCGGTGTTTGTAGATGAGACTTCTGAAGTTGATCCCATTTGAAAATTTGAGGTTCTGGTAGATTAAGAACAAGAAGATGAAAAAAGAAATCGACTAATGTGAGCAAGATCTTTTAGAACTGCTTTGATACTATGTAGAAAAATGATAGGAAAGAATAGACTGAAACTTTGAGGAATTTTCGGTGTCTTTCTCATTGATGAACAGTGTGTAATATACATGTATTTTCTATAAAGAAAAATGTAAAATCTAATACATGTGTCTCCTATTTGATTGGTCCTACACTAGCTTTCAAAGTAATTGTATATACCCAACTAATGTACTTTTTACAGCTCATGTACTATTTTATGTACAATATCAAATTTATTTGTTGGCCATTGTATCCCAGCTAGATGCAGTGTGATTGAATCCATCAGGTTCCAATATGATGGTCTTGATTTGTTCACGTGGCTTGCTCTTTGAATCCCACAAGTTAATCGGACAGCTCTTATTTAATCCATCATAAACTGATCTAATGGTCCAAGCTGCTCCACACATCCTAGAATCAGATTCACCATACGATTGTACTTTCCTAATTGTTTGAACATAGTTACAATAGAGAACTTTCTCTTCTTTTGTCTATTTTCCTCTCGTATGTTGTTCTCCCAAATTCAACACTGTGTATTTCAATTCCAACACGTTCTAAATCCATTGTTCGCCTCTGCTTGGATGTTGGCCCACTTGTTTTTAAGCAATAGTTTTTGTTGGTTTTTTGTTTCATGGGCAACAATTGTAAAGAGTTATTTTTTTAATTAGATAGAAGACAAAACAGTACTATTTCCATAAAAATGTCTGATGTGCTATTAGAAGAATCGGGTTTTGTAGCTTAAAAATGAACACAAGTATTATATGCGGCTATAAATTCTACAAAACTTGGGATAATTTATACAAAGTAGATAAAAACAAACAAATAAATGTTAAGTGAAAAGGACAAGTCCATAGAAAAGGTGTTTCCTAGTACAACTTGATAGATACAGTTGTAGAGATTGTTTATAGAGAAAGGATGAACAAGCTTTCTGCATGCGCCCCATGTAATGTGGTATTCATGTATGTATATATTATCTGTGCATGTACCATAGCATGAACACTTGCACGCAATAAGCAAATAGCATATAGTACATTAATGATACAAAGGACCATTGGTTCATAAACAGTTTTGAAACAGTTTCATGTGTTGTTCACAAATCATAAAGATGGAGATATCATTGAGATATGACAGTGTTTTGTAGTACTTTCTTCCAGTAAAATTACAAAGAGAATAATAACAGTAAATTACAAGTGGCTCATAACACTAGTACTCTTAGCAGTAATAGTATTAAGATTAACTTATACTAGTATATAATAATAGTGTAATGAAGTTTTACACTATTAGTAATGTATTTTAACTCGTTTAAGTAGGTAATATCCATCTTATATTTCAAGTTTAATCTCTCTTTTATATACTTCTAATTATTTAATACAATATAATATTTTGAAAAAATTACACTGTATAAGTTTAAAAGTTAAACTTTACCCCACCCCAACCTGGTCTCGGCCTTCAAAAAAAACTTAAACTCTACTTCTAATCGAGATGGCACTTTCTCAATTCCTTCAGACTCTGTCTTGTTTTCCACTCTACCTGATATAAAGATTGATGAATCATTATATGGAGGACACCTTTTCTTCTCTTTCCTGTAATTGAACTGAGTCATTTCTTTCTTTACTTTTTACTAGTACATGAATGGCTAATGTTGGTTCTCCCAAATGAACAAAAGAATGTTGCATAATAGCCAGAACCATCAGATCTATGTACTGGTATAAAACGAAGCTCTAAGAATTTTTGAGCGTCCAAAAAAGACTACATAAGAAAGAAAAAAACATAGGAAAAAGAGAGCGGTGGAATACCTGTAAATGGGATTTAACATGCGCTAAGGTGAGATCTTTCACATCCATAAGCTCAAGAACTGACTTTGGTGTTGCTCCTAAATACCCCAAAAAATGTGAAGTCATATATATTGGTTTAGCTTCATATAATCTAGTAGTATTATTTTCTCAGTTAGGAGTGAAGTTTAATTTTTTTTGTTTATTTCTTCATTATCTAAATTCACTGACCCGACTTATTTATATTCGTGGCGCATAATATCACTAAGGAGAAAGGTGCTCCCTGTGAAAAGATAACAATGAATTTTAAGGACAGAAGAAGAAGAAACCTACTTTCACGGCCACCGAAAAGCTCAACGGCATGAACAAAACGCGCATAGAGAGTACTAGTCCATCGCATCCGCGGAGCTCTAGTGCTCCGTTTACACGGGAATATTGAATAAAATCTTGATCGCAAAAACCGAGCTTGGGGGTGATGATGGGACTGATAATTGGGCCTACTCGAGGCAGAAGAATTAATTGTGCTTTTATTATTGTTAATATAACAAGGCGAAGAAGGTGTAGGAAATGTTGTAACAGCAGTAGTAGTACTAACAAAGGGCTGTTGAGAAAATGGAAAAGGAGAAGAAGGGTAATTTTGAATGTCACGACCCAAATTCATAATTGGTCCAGACTGCACCTAACGCCACCGTTATACAAGTCCACAAGTGAAACTACTAATTATTTATTCCTTTTTGACACATTTTAACAAAATTCCTTCTTTTTAGAGAATAGTTTAACTAGCTTTCATGAAACCGTGACAAGTCTTTTTGAAAGAAAATGCCAACATAATAAGTACATACTCTGCGATGATAGAAATAACGGGTATAATAGTACATAAATGTTACAAATCCCCAAAATCCGGCGTCACAAGTATATGAGCAATCTAGAGAATATAAAAGACTACTAAAACTAATGTACGAAAGTAATACACAGGAATAGTAAATAAGGTGGAAGGAGACTCTGGTACTGCGGATCGTAGCAAGGCAAGCAGCTCACCACTAAGTCTCCTTGGATAATTGGCTACGCGCCCGCGTGACCACTGGTGGATCCTGTCTCAGTACCTGCACATCAGAGCAGAAGTGTAGTGTGAGTACGAAAAATAATGCGTACCCAGTAAGTATCTAGTCTAACCTCAAAGAAGTAGTAACGATGGGTCGACTTGACACTTACTAGAGGTCAATAATAATAATATAAGTGCATAAAGTAGATTTGGTGAGAATACAACAGGTATCAATGAAACAAATAAATACAACTACAATAAATACAACAGGAGTCTGTATCACATCACTATCATATCATAACTGGTCGTGAAGGCACTAAATCAATTACCCAAACTAGAGCCCGTTTTAATTATTAAGCACGAAGTTGCCGAGTCGAACGACCCGATCCCATAAGAGTAGTGGTACTCAGTACTGCCGAGGCGAACGGCCTGATCCCATAAGAATAGTGTTACTCAGTGCTGCCGAGGCGAACAGCCCGATCCTATAAGAATAGTGTTACCATCATACTGCCGAGGCGAACGGCCCGATCCCATAAGAGTTGTGTTATCATATTGCCGAGGTGAACGGCCTGATCCCATTAGAGTAGAGAAGTTTACCTCGCTCGCGGGAGTACTTGCGAGACGAGAAGACATGGATATTTTATAGTTATTAAGTATTCCTCAATTTTCCGAAATAAGAAGGCTAAGTCGATAATTGTAACTTTAAATCCCTAGTCTCAACTCTATTCAACACGGTTAATACACATGATAAACACAACAGTACAATTAAAAGCATGATGTGGATCTAATTCTACCCGAACATATCATATAATATAGCTACGCACGGACTCTCGTCACCTCGTGCGTACGCAGCTCCCCATACAAGTAATACACAACAAAGATCTAAGGGGATGAGTTCTCTCTTACAAGGTTAGAAAAGAGACTTACCTCGTTCCCAAGTCGATACTGAATAATTTGAAACTAGTCAAATGTTATATAATTTAATCAATATATGCTCAAAATTCATAATTTAGCTTCTAGAGTGATAACCCAACCCAAATTGGAAGATTCTTAAAATTTACCCCGGGCCCATGTGCCTAGATTCCAGAAATTTTGAAGATAATTATTTTCCATAGCCTCACGAACTAAAATATATAATTTTTATTTAATTCCATAACCAATTTCGTGGTCAAATCCCATTTTTATCAAAACCCTAGGTTCTTCACAAATCCCACAAGTTTTCATAATTTTTCCATATTTAATCTACCTAAAATCTGCATAATTAACTTGAAAATGGGTGGGAGTTACTTACCTTAGGATATTGATGAGAATCACCCTCAAATATTCTCTCAAAATTGCCTAAGATCAAATGAAATGTGAGAAAAAACGGCCTAAGTCTTGGATTAAAAGGCCTCAATGCCCAGCGATTTCCGCTTTACAGACCTTGGGTCGCACTTGCGGAAAATCTATCGCAGGCGCGGTCCTCACCAAGCTTGGCCAATTCTGCTTCTACGGAGAAGCATGCGCACCTGCACATCCGCTTCTGCGGAGCGGGTCCGCATCTGCGCACTCGCGCCTGCGGAGAAACGCCCACTTCTACGACCCCAAGCCTCTTTGGCCTAGCCCGCACCTGCGACCACCTTCCTCGTACCTGCAAGCTCGCAGGTGCGGTAAACCCTCCGCTTCTGCGACCACTTACCAGCCTACTCCAGGCTGCTTCTGCGGTTGATCGGCCGCTTCTATGAGGTCGCACCTGGGGCAAAATCCACGCAGATGCGAACACACTAGAACTGAAGCACCAACAGTTCCCCCATGCCCAATTCCAAGTCTAATTCTAATCCGTTTTGCATCTGGGTCCCCCGGGACCACATCCAATTACACTCAAAAATCCAACAACATAATATGGACCGGCTCGTGCGATAGAAACACCAAAATAATATCTAAAATTATGAATCGGACGCCAAAACGCATAAATTCGACATGAAACTCAAAAACTTCTAAAAGCACTTCCTCGCGTCCGATTCCTATCAAATAAACTCGGAGTGACGCCAAATTTTGTGTGCAAGTCATAAATCACTATACGGAACTATTTCCTGGCTTGGAATCCCAAACGGACCCCAATAAAACCAAAACCCACTCTAAGCCTAACTTAAAGATCTTGAAAACATTCAATGCACCAACCTTTAACATTAAGCACTGAAACGCTCCCCGGTCATCCGAAACCCAATCCGAATACACGCCCAAGTCCAAAATCATCATAAAAACCTATTGGAACCGTCAAATCCCGTTTCTGAGTTCATTTACTCAAAACGTTGACTCAAGTCAAACTTAACCATTATAAGCTACAATTAAGGAACTAAGTGTTCCGATTTCAACCCGAACTCTTCCAAACCTAAACCAACCATCCCCGCAGGTCATAAAACAGTAAAAGCACATACGGGGAGTCTTAATTAGGGGAACGGGGATCTAGAAAGCAAAACGACCTATCAGGTTGTTACATTCTCCACCTCTTAAACACACTTTTATCCTCGAACGGGTCTAGAATCATACCTGGAGTGCTGAAAAGGTACGGATATATGCTCCTCATATCCTCCTCGGCCTCCCAAGTCGCTTCCTAGGCTGGTTGACCCCTCCACAGGACCTTCACTGTAGCAATCTTCTTGGACCTCAACTGGAGAACCTGCCTATCAACAATGGCAACTGGCTCCTCTTCATAACCCAAACTCTCATCTAGTTGAACCGTGTTGTAATCTAGCACGTGTGACCTGTCGGCAAGATACCTCCGGAACATAGACACATGGAAGACCGGATGAAATCCCGATAGACTGGGAGGCAAATCAAGCTCATAAGCAACCTCCCCAACTCGCTTCAACACCTCAAATGGGCCAATAAACCTTGGGCTCAGCTTGCCCTTCTTCCCGTACCTCATGATTCCCTTCATCGGTGAAACTTTCAAGAGAAGCTTCTCACCCACCATAAATGATAATATACGCGGCTTCTGATCTGTGTAACTCTTCTGTATGAATTGTGCTGTGCGAAGTCTCTCCTGAATCAACTTTACCTTTTCCAAGGCACCCTTCACCAAATCAATTCCATATAACTTAGCATCGTCGGGCTCAAAGCATTCGATGGGCGAACGGCATAGCCGACCATATAAAGCCTCAAATGGAGCCATCTCGATATTGGACTGATAATTGTTGTTGTAAGCAAACTCGGCCAAGGGCAAGAATCTATCCCATTGACCCCCGAAATCAATGACATATGATCTGAGCTTATCCTCCAGAATTTGAACTGTCCGCTCCGACTGCCCGTCGGTTTGTGGATGAAAAGCTGTGCTGAGCTCTACTCGGGTACCCAACTAACTCTGTACTGCCCTATAATAATGCGAAGTAAACTGAGGGCCTGTATATGATATGATGGAAATAGGCACACCATGCAACCGGACAATCTCCTAAATGTAAATCTGGGCCAACCTCTCTGAAGAGTAAGTAGTCACCACCGGAATAAAATGCGCCGACTTGGTCAACCTGTTAACAATGACCCAAACGGCATCAAACTTCCTCAACGTCCATGGCAACCCAATAACGAAGTCCATAGTGATGCACTCCCACTTCCATTCTGGTATAACCATCTGCTGAAGGATGCCACCTAGCTTCTAGTGCTCATACTTGACCTGCTGGCAGTTTAGATATCTCTCCACATACTCAACTATGTCCTTCTTCATTCGCCACCACCAATAATGATGCCTCAGGTCGTGATACATCTTTGTAGCCCCTGGATAAATAGAATACCGAGAACTGTGCGCCTCTTATAGTATCTTCTCCCTCAAGCCATCAACTTTAGGAACACATAGGCGACCTTGGAGCCGCAGAACACCATTCTCACCGATAGTAACCTCCTTGGCACCACCCTGTAGTACCGTCTTTATGCGAACCAACAAGTGTGGATTATCATACTGACGAGCCTTGATCCACTCAAATAATGAAGACTGAGCCACGACATATGCAAGAATCCGACTGGGCTCTGAAATATCCAACCTCATAAGTCTGTTAGCTAAGGACTAAATATCCAAATCAAAAGGTCTCTCCTCTTTCGAAATGAATGCCAAACTACCCATACTCTCGGCCTTTGTGCTCAAGTCATCCGTGACCACGTTCTCCTTACTCAGATGATAAAGGATGGTAATATCATAGTCCTTTAGTAACTCAAGACACATGCGCTGCCTCAAATTAAGATCCCTCTGCTTGAACAAATGCTGCAAGCTGCGATGATTGGTGTAAAGTTCACATGAAACCCCATAAAGATAATGCCTCAAGATTTTGAGAGCATGAACTATCACGGCCAACTCCAAATCATGCATGGGGTAATTCTTCCCGTGGGGCTTCACCTGGCGTGAAGCATATGCAATGACTCGCCCCTCCTGCATCAATACACAACCCAGGCCAATGCGTGAAGTGTCAGAATATACAGTATACATCTTTGAACCTGAAGGCAACACTAAAATTGGTGCTGTAGTCAAAGCCGCCTTGAGCTTTTGAAAGCTCGCCTCGCAATCATCGGA